AATACTATCACGCACATATTATTAGTCTGTGTGACAGCTGCATTAGCGATGTTCTGTCGAGTGTCGTGATGATGCCAACAGACATAATTAAGTGGCTCTTACGTGATGAATAGACTGCATGTTCTATCTCTTTTTCTATTCTGTCTCGTGTGCGTATATAAAGTGAGTGTTTTATGTTGTAAAGAGAGAATTGGAATAATGTAGTAGTGTAGCGAACATCGTGTAATACCGAGGATAGCGGTAACGCTACTCTTCCAATTTCTCTTTGTGATCACAAATAAAATAAAGTCTGCAGCAAGTAACGAATATTCTATCCTCATTTAACAACAATATATTTATTCATTTCAAAATTCGTTACACAAATGATGTGCAATTATTTCAATTCGAGCAATGGGAACATGTAACATTCTTAGTTCAACAATTGAATCAAAACTAAAAGTCTTATTCTTGTATTTCTATAACATATTCTTTCCCTCCAATTTCTAATAAACACTGGTGCTGATTTAAATATCATATCGCTTACACTTCCATTCATCATAGTATAATCTTTCAAGTTTCCATTTTTCCTTCTAGATCTTCGACAGACACATAATCCAACCGATTGAACTTGCTTTCTCTCATAATTATACTGGTAATAAACATCCCATGTTTGAATCATATTAAAAGATACTCAACACAACCAACTTCTGTCAATTAAACATGATATGATCAAAACCATTACCCTCGTCAAACTCACTAACAAAATCTCCTATAACACTACTTTACCACAACATTACACCTTCTCAACTGAACATAAACACCACATCGCACCTTCACCGAATATTACTAGGAACGTCATCGCTATTCAACACACTATCCACCGAACTGCATAAACTAACGAAATAATCCTTTATAAACACTTGCATTCCACTGAGAAGACAAAACCAGTACACCTATCCAATGTACTCAAACAAAAATCAATAGACAACACCGCTGCATAATAATCTACAACTGTCATACAATAATCTGCCACTTCGATACAATAAACTTAAATAACTATCAAATCAACCCTCATACATATTCAGCACAAAACACTAATACAAATAGGAATACAATCAAACAATTAAACAAAACTCAAAAATCAACCATCCTACTAACTCGTCAACAAATATATTCACTGACTTTACCATCAACCTTAACAAAAGTTCACATCACCATCACTCTCCATAATATAACTGAAAAAACCTATGTTTTATGGTAATTGTTCACACCCTATGTTGTGATATTTCTAATCTTCTTTGATTAGAATTCAGTATTTAGTTATGATTCTCTCAATGATTGAATCATTCATGCTAATACTTGCCATTTGATAATCTATATATCTATAATAGTGAAAAACCTATGTTTTATGGTAATTGTTCACACCCACACCCTCAAGATGGTTTTTGCACTTACAATACAGATACTTAAGTAAATAAGTATTTAGTACAAGTCCTTAGTATATTTTTGCAGCACAAGTACATTTACTTGTACTGCAAGAAATTAACTTAGTACTTAGAATTTTAAGTAAAAAGTACGAAAAGTACCAAGTATTGTACTAAGTATGCAATGTCTAGGCGCACCCGTTACAATGATATTTAGGCAAAAGCACAAAATAAAGAAAGTTGTAATATTTGAAACGTTGTTTTACTTTAATCCAAGGAAAGAATCTTTTTGTTTGTGTATCTCGCATACTACCTCCCATATCGAAGCTTCTTGTACATATCACTAAACTCATTTCTGTACGTTTTGGAAGGCAAGACGAAGACGGGAAACGTAAGGAAAGTGGGGATGTAGGAAACAAAATACCCAAAAAGAAAAAGCCATGGATCTCGTGCCGATTTCATACAATCTGTAGTTAATGCAATGATGAGTCGTGGAGTAGTTAGACCGATAAGAATTGTGGGTGATAGAAATAAGTGCTTGTACTGGTGAAATTGGTCGGCAAAGTGTTGTTTGAAGGTTTGTTGTTTCCGAGCGTGCGATCGAATTCGAGCTGCAGCGATGACGATAATCACGGCAGAAATGATATTGATAGAAAAGGGAATGATGAAGTGAATGACATTGATAGTTGAATTTATCGCTTGGAGAACAGAAGAGTAAGAAACTATACACCAAGTGCGTTGTTCTTCCAAATCATCAATAAGACGACGATATATAGGGTCCTCTAGGTACGAGACCGTTATGAATATAAGTAATATTATAATAATCCATTTTGATACTCGTTTACTTTTTGTCTTGTCAAAATTTGTCTTGTATAACACCGTGACTGTACGTTCTATAGCCACACAGGCGTGTAACCAATCATTCATAGTAAGACAAGCTTGAAGGAGAGCGTCAACACTGACGCAAGTGATTAATAGGAAAAGATGATTAGTTAATAATTTAGTTTGTGTGGTGAAAAGAATCCAGTATTTGAGAAAGAGTAGTATTACTGTAAACAAGGATACAATCGATGAAGTGAGTAAGTAGATACCACAACCGACTTCACGAGGTTTCTTTGCGAGATAAGTAAGCAGTGACAATGTACCATTTATCAGACCAAGAACCAATATCAGTGTAGTGAGAAGTAGACTAATCTTGACAGTTATTGGCTGAGAAGCAAATGGAATGTGCGGCCGAATATGATAGCCAAGTATGACATCAAGTGACAGCGAGATACCACCCGTATTGAATTGACATCTAGATCCATAATAACAATCATTGCAAACACATAGCATTGATGACGGACATGAAAGTTTATCTTGGAAGCAACGACCTTTATTCATACAATAGGTGGAACCTTTACAATTATATGTCATATTCTGTTCGAATTCAAAACAGTTGGCATGTCTTTCTCTGGTACATAAGCACATATATTCTTGATCATAGAAGCATTGTAAAGTAACGCTCTCTTTACATGGTAAATGATAATATTTCATACGACGTAATGACTGATATGCGAGAATGGTTGAATTGAACAGTTCGCTAATCGATTTACAACGTTGAGAGGAATGAACGACGACTGCAAATACATCGGATGATGATAGTTGAGATTTAGTATTCAGATGTATGAGATAGAAGTTGTTAACCCATTCGACAAATATCATATTAAATCGAGAAGAGAAAAATACCAACACAGATTCATGGTGAAGTGCAATCTTTTTAAATATGCTTGTGCGCAACGGTGGACCAGTTTCATTTGTAATAGTAATGAAATGTATAAAGATAGAAGATGGAATGATGAAATATTTTGAAAAGGAAATTTGGATGCGCGCTTGTTCGATCTCACAATAACTGCCCGTATAGTCTTCTTTACAAATACAGGTCTCACTTAGTCCTTCGCTACTAATCATTTTTACATCTACTGGTACGCAAAGAGCCGTTCCATTCGGACTACATGAAGTCTGCTGTTGACATGCAAATCGATGTTTTAGTAGACATCGAGGTCCAAACTTGTCGAGAGAGCAAACACAGATCGAACGTTTATCGTATGTACCTACACAGACAGAACCGGGTGCACAATCACATTTCTCGACTTTTTCGCATGATACTCCCGACCAATTCGGCCAGCATCGACAAAAAAAAATCTCCGTATTCTTATAGCGCACGCATTCACCATTGATACAGTCCATAGGACAATGCATAAAGACTAAAGAAGGTTCCAGTGGGATTGTTAGACTAGTCGAAATGCGATACACAGGTAGAGAAGGGAAACGAACAGGTAATTGCCAACTATTACGATAGTTTAACATTTCAAACACATGAATAATTACATCATATGTTTTTGATTCATCTTTAGGTCGATTAGCATAGAGAAGAACGAGATCAAATCGAAGATCACAATCACGTGCAGCAACAAATGTACGTTGTTCATGCGAATGAATAAATGAAGTATTGTCTACTAACATGATTACCAAATTGAAGACATTGCGCAGCTCTAATGTAGTGATCCGAAATGACAGACTAACACGTTGACTTTGATATTGACATTGTTCACCGTAATAACTGGGAGGACAAAGACACCTTCGGACATTACGTTCTAAAATAACAATGCCTCTATTACAAAACCAAACAATCTTCCAATCTAGATTTGGTGCTGACATATGAATATATTCCACTACACCACCCATGACGGTTTCACTAAACTCTAAAGCAAATGGAACTACAGATTGCTTCATCCAGTCTTCCAAATTACAGAAGTGTTCGTGGATCTGATTGACTTTGTCAATAGATGAAAGATCGCCATGACTATCATAGGTATAGTCAATGTCATCTCCGTAGCATCCTTCATCTAAGTTTGTCCTTATACAAAAACGTTCTTTCTTTTCTAATAAACAATACTCATCCGCCTCCTTACTTTCGAATGACTCCAAACAAATCCCACGCAAAGAGACACAGTAATCGGTATCCCAGCATCGATATCGTCGTGGTTCGTGATCTTCAAATGATAAATATTTGTTACGACAATAAAACGGCTCGTCTACGCCTCCAAGACAATCCATTTTCTTGTCACCAGCTTGACTGACATTCAGACACATCATAGAGAAAGTCTTGTGAGAAACACATTGAAACTGATCGGCTGCACAATCATTCGAACCACTTGCTTGACAGTTCAACTCATCCAAACCATTCTCACAATTCCAGAAGCCATCACATCGCGTATACACATTATCACATGGCCAATAGTCGCAATTGGTCTCATCTGTTTCAGTTTCTCGATTTTCAACATAGGCGTCGAAATTAACTTCGATGAACCCGTCACACATAGTTGTGAAAGAAAGAGCCTCCTTTCGAACGAGTATTGTTTCATCTTCGCCGCCCTGGCAATCTTTTATTCCGTTTCGTACGGCCAGATGAGAAACGCATTTATTCTCTGATAAACAAACAAATCGACGAATATCATTGAGTGTGCAACTGTAGTTCGTCGCATACTCGTCGCTCCCATCTTGACAGTCTTTGATTCCGTCTGCCACACGTCTATTGGGAATGCATTTGGTTGAATTATGACATTGAAACCGGTCAGAACTATTACATTGAGATCCTTCGAGCGTTTTCGTGGCCAAGCATGGTCTGAAGATGTCATGAATTAGTGTTAAAACATCTTCTAGATTTGTATTTATACTGAATTTATCATAGGGATAACATGTCGATCCATTGATGAATATTGCCGGAATAGCAATAGATGGACAGTTCATACGAGAAGAACAGATATATACCGGCTTTCCTTGACGCTTTGCATTGATTGTCCGATTGGATGAAAACATTAAATATACATCTCCGAACAGAATTGGTGCAGCAGGAAAGAAAAATAATGATTGATTACAGTTCTTCTCAATAAAATCGAAGCAGCGGTTGTCATTCTCATTGCATGGTGAGCTTTTATTGAACAACGATGAGAAAAAAAAGCTCTTACCTATAAAGTTTATCATAGCTAACCAACACTCCTCGCTTAACAATGGATTTTTAGCATATGTTAGAAAAATTTTCTCTACTTGACGATCCCGATAGTTGTTACATTGTTTCCCATCATCAATCATGAGTGGATACCTAATGTACGATCCATCACCACAAGGGAATTTCTGAGTATTTAACGATCCAAATTCCTCGCATCGAAAAGCTGGATCCATGCGACAATCTGCATGTCTATTAAATTGCGAAAGCAGCGGTTCTTCATCTGTCCCATCTATACAATCAGCGTTGACGACATCATCAGCATAAAACTCTAGAGGAATACATTGGCCATTATGACACTGATACTCATTCTGGTCACAGGCATTCGCTTCAATTTGGGAGCATCCATATTCATCAGCTCCATCTTGGCAATCCCATTTACCATCGCACACCTCACGCCAGTCAAGACACACGAAACTAGTGCATATCAAAGAAGCATAACATATTTCCAAAAGGCTTTCCTGTAAAATCGTATCTGCCTTAGACATGAACAGCGCATTAACCATTTCGGTAAAAGATACTTTTAAATACAACGAAAATTGGCAGTATTGTCCAAATGAATATTTGGAACAATTATAGTATCTGAATTGATTCTCGATCGATGTTGTTTCATTCAGATTGTCCACATACGATTGATAACGTTCGATAAGATCGATCGGAGCTGACCAGTCGTACAGGTTTTCGCTAGATATATTCAACTTGCTTAGCTGTTCAAATGTCATCCAATCGAACGTCGAATTCATCGCAATCGACTTATCAGATCCAACAGTGGGACGAAAACAATAGGGAATGATTTCCAACGTTGCTCGTTTCGCTATACTGTGTGCTATAATATAATCATTTACATGGTAATACAAACAATCATGCTGCAAGCTCGTTTCGCTTTGTACATCACTGTTATATACATAATATTTGACTGTTGGCTGCGTCTCGCCACACCACCAAAGCATAATATATAATATTTTGAAAAACAAATTCATTTTCTTTTAGTCCAACATTTGTGTTAATATGCCTTTACAAATCTCACTATAAAATGTAAATAATTATTGCATTGATCGAAGACATTCATTCCAAACACAACTGTTTCCTGTCAAAAGCGATGAGACAAAAAGGAATTTTCGAGCTTCTCATTATTCTCGAAAAACAATCTTCGTGCTCATTTCAAAAATCTTTACAAATGTTAAAATTTTCCAAAACTCTGCATGAACTAAGTCCAATTCATCAAAAAAGTAAACGAAACAATCTTCTCTCTTATTAATCATATCACGATTGCTAAAGATTTGAAGAGGATATTGTCGGATATAAAAAAAATTCTATTTAACGAGCTCTTAGTATCATATTGAAAATCAATTGAGAATCCATGACCACTCGATTTTTTTACTAATACCATCCTTTCTGTGAAAGTAAAACATCTATCACATATGTACTACAACTTTATAACCGATGAAAAGTGAGGTTCAAAAGATCTGAATAGAAATACTCTAGATAGATACCTAAAAACATCTACTAAATATATATTACTAGATTATATATTTTTAGCTTATGTATTTGAAGGTAGAAGTGAGAATTTATTGTTATTGCTATTTGTTATAAATAATAGATAAATAACAAATAACTTTTATTTTTGAAAAATATCTTTTCTCACCTCATTGTATATTTTAATTGTGTCCGTTATGTAACCTTACAGTTCGGAACGAATTTTCTGTATTTCTGCTACTGATTTAGATTGTTCAATCAAGATATGAAGCTAGCTAAATTTTCAGAAAAAAAAGTTATCTGTTATTATCTGTTATTTATAACAAGTAACTATCGTAAAAAAAGTTATTGTTATTTATAACAACGAAATAACAATAACTTCTCGTTCCTATTTGAAGGTACATTTTGATCGTAACCAGTCATTGTGTCATTAACATATTCTTTCGGAAATACTTACATTCTGATTCGGACGTTAAAAGTTAACATACTGTGTAGAATTTGTTCTTGATAAGTGAAATGTTTCATAGACGGTATACACGACACTGCAATTCAATTAAATTGACGACAGAATGATCAAACATTGAACGTCAGAATTATTTAATAAAACGTTGTATGACAACTTGACAAGGAAAACATGAGTGCCAATCAACTCGCTGATACATACAGATAACACCTCTCATATTTTTCAGAGGAAAATTTCTGATTAGTAAAATTTTATAGGTATCGGCAGTAACGAAACAAGCAGTGAGACTGGAGAATCAGTCTACTGCTCCGCCTCCCTCCAGAACGATTAAAATATCTGGAGGGGAGCACAGATTGATTCAGCGATGTAACTAAGATTTCTTTAGAGAGAGAAGGGTCAGCATAGAAGAAAGACACTTTTCGATTTGTGGATACCAATTAATCCGTACTTTTCCACAGATATTCCTATCGTGAAGGTGTGGGTCTGAGTCTGGGTCTGGGTTTGGGTTTGGGTATGGCTATTCGCCTGTGTTATGCTTACATTGAAGCCCACATCCACACCCACACCTACACCCACACCCACACCCACACCCTCAACTACTTTATATACACTATTTAAACTTGGTGAATTAAAGTATCCATCAATCGAATGGCGTCACACAATCATTTTTTACTTATTGTAATCATTATCAGCTTCTTTCCAATATTAAATAGAACAATCTTAACAGCTTCTTCAAGTTTTAATGTATCTGTTCGATATCCAAATGCATCAATTAAAATGAGAGTAATTTTGGATATGCGTCGAATTCGTCAAACACTTCAACCATACCGTTCTTTGTTAAGATCAAGAGAACTCTATCGCGAATATTATAATATGTTCAAAACTTTATGGACTTGTTGCCCTTTACAAAGAGCTTTTCTGTTCGATACACGAAATGTTCACCAATCTATACTTGATATGATAAATTGCCAGGAAAATATTAAACATAATCAAAGTCGACTATCAACTCAATGTCTATCTAATCTGAAATTATTTAATCCAACAACTCGAGACCTTCCGAAGTGTGATGGAGGTCTACTTCGAAATATTGCTAATGAATATCCTTTCGTTGTGCAGTTGTACAACTATACAGAACAATTTTGCGTTGATGGTCTTCATCCTAACCTTATCTTTTTTAATATTTCTCAAATAATTCAATGTGAACGTGCTATTAGACAAAGACTCGTTAACAATCCATATGCTTATGATATTTACGATACTCTCAGCAATAGTTTACTCCGTATTTATGTGCAAAATTTAAACAATTATTCTGATTGTAACAGTTCTGAATCATCGGAGAATGAAGAACAACCGACGAAACTTATGTATTACTATTGATAAATATCATAGACATCTAGTATTATCTACACTTTTATGTATCTCTTACTATTTTTTCTCTACTTTTCTATATAATGATGTATGATAGTCTCACATGATGAAAGATGAAAATTTTTGTAATTTACAAGTATAATAGAAGTTCAATAAAATACTCTTAGCATTACCTTCTTATGATTGTTGATGATACACGCTATAATATAGATGAAGTAGTAGAATATCATGCACTTCGATCCCTTTTTTACAAACTCTTTACAAAAATTCAGATATTTTGAAAACTCGAATGATTCAACTATTGCATAAGGTTATATATTATGAATTTGTTACGATAAAATTAGATTGTCAGCAAGCTAAATGCGACAAACATTTCTATGACAAACAATTAGACAATAAGGTTGTTCACAGTTTTTTCATGATCGTACAATATTATAGATTTTTATTTTAGCATTTTTTTATCGCTTATTAAAACTATCCATACAATGTGAAGCTTTTCTATACCAGTATAACTTTATTGGGTGGGTGTGGGTGTGGGTGAGGTGTGGACTCCTCATCATTGATACGTACTCACACCCACACCCACACCCACCACACACACCCACACCCACACCCACACCCACACCCACACCCACCCACACCCACACCCACACCCACACCCACACCCACACCCACACCCACAC